TTAGCATGTTACTGCTGTTTAGTTAACTTGTCTTGAACGAATAAATGAATGAATTAACGGTGCTCAGAGCTGGTAACACTTCAGTGAGGGTTGACCAGATGGTGCCAAAAAATGAGATAGATCTGCCTCAGTGCCTTCTCTATGCACACTTGCCATCTGGCATCATTACTCTGGCACAGAACCAACCATCACCACAGTAGAGTCACGGGACCATAAATCCTCATACTCTGTGTAACTTTCTATAGAGCTCCTTCATGTCTGCTCATTGGGGGTCTAGAATCCAGAGCTTGTCGTCCTAACTACAGGAGAGGAACTGGTCCATAATACCTCATCCTCCACATGACCTCTTATAGAATTCCTTCAAGTCTTCTCACTGCGACTGGAGTCCAGAGCCTGTCACTCTAGACTGTAATGCCTCCGTGAATCAAGCCGTTTCCCTTTTGTTTTCTCTCATTCTAAAGGTATCTAGCCATGGAGGAAAGGATGGATATGGATTCAGACAAGCAGGCTGAGCCTACGCTGGGCTATGGTATGCTGCATGGAGTAACAGATCCAGTTCTTCCAGGTCTTGAACAAACAGGGCAACAGCCTTGACCTGAGTTACCCCATCTTGAGTGTACGCGACTGGAAGTGACTCTAGGTCTTGTTTACACGAGGAAGCAAAAGCCACCTGCCAACATACTGGGAGGCACAAGCTGGCAATGTATTGAAGCTAATAAAAAAAATGGTACCTGAAAATATCAACTCATATCAGAAGCCCCAGATACACGAGCTTATTGATCACACTAGTCACACCCTAAGACAAATGAAGCAAGAACACTGACCGGTCACCCTGTCACTCAGCACAAACCTCATGAAGAAAACTATACAGTGCAGGACTCTTGCCTTCGGCTTCAGCTCCAGGGAAATTTCTCCTGCCAGTGACATTCAAATGGCCTGCATTGGACATGAATCGTGCATCTCTGGGTCTGCACTTGTAATGCTTCTTTTCTGAGTTACAGACTTTTCCTTACAACTATATTGGCTCACTGCCTCCAACTTCAGAATGGTATCTCTGAACTCGGAGATCTCTTTAACCCTTTCATAGATGTTCTGTGGCATGATTGTCTAAAATGTGATCTGAGAATTAATTTTAGAAATTAAGACCAGACTAAAAGAACCAGTGACTGGGAGCTGGTGAAATAGTTCAATGGGTAATCTGAGTTGGGACTCTAGTACGTTCATAAAATCAGGTGCAGTGAAACCGAGACACAGAGCAGCAGAGACAGGTGGATTTTGGAGCTTGCCAGCTAGTCTAGATAATCAGTGGGCTCCAGGTTCAGGGAGAAACTGTCTCAGAAGTGGAGGCTGGCGAAACGGACTGCAGTTAAGAGCTGCTCTGTTCTTCAGAGGACCTGGTTCGATTTCCAGCACCCACATTAACTCCAGTTCCGGGGATCTAGTGCCCTCTTCTGGCCTCTGTGGGTACTGAAGACATAGCAAAATATCCATATATGTAAAAATAAAATCAACAAAACAAATTTATAAAAGTAAATAAAATTGAGATGCTATTAATAAAGACAACCCAGCGCTAACCTCTGACTTCCTTATGCATATACACCCGTATGTGCACACACATACGTACACCAGAGAGAGAGAGAGAGAACCATTGACTGGCAATGGCTACTTGGCAAATCACAATCAAGCTAACATATCTTGTGATTTTATTATTCAAGTCCTGACATATAGAAAGACATAAACATGTCTGTGTCTCTGGCATTACATGCACTTAGTCTTCCATCTTAAAAGTAGGCACCATTTTGCTTAATAGAAATGGTTCTCCAGGGATCACAGAACCAGCATTTTGCCCACAGGGCTCCTGGAGATCATGAAGGTGCTTTGAGGACCAGCGGGGGGAAGTCTGTGTAGATATAAATCACACTTTGCCTTCCAAGGGCTCAACTCTAACAGGTGGAGTTTAATGAATGGTTGGCAGAATGGGAAAAGAGTAAAGTTCACATCACACCACAATTGAGGCCATCATCGCTCCTGCGCACTCTCATTCCACCACCTGAAATAAGGAATAAACTAGGTGCTAAGGTCACACACATGGCACTTTCAGAAAATCTTCCAGCATTTCCGTGGCTTCACTTCCACAGGCCAAGTCAAAGTAAGGAAGAAAGGAATGAATTTATTTTTTTAAGATTTGTGCCTGCATTCGTGTATGCCCACCAGGTATATGCCTGCAAAAGTTTGTGTGTACCGTGTGTGTACAGTTGCCTGAGGAGTCCAGAGAAGACATCAGATTCCCTGGAAGTGGCGTGATAGGTGATCAGGTGCCACTCGGCGTGGGTGCTGGGAACTGAACCTGGGTTCTCTGGAAGAGCAGAAATCAGAGCACTAGGGGTGATAGGAAAGTGAGACTACAAGAAATAGAAGCCACTCGTAGGTGGAGGATAAGGATGGCTTGAGTCATTGCTGGGGAGGGGGGGGGATAGAGAGCCCAAGGTGGTTTGATAGAAAATAGTCCCACAAGGAGTGGCATCTTAGGAGAGTAGATGTGACCTTGTTGGAGTATTGTGTCGCTGTAGGGGTGGTTTTGAGTGTCACATCCTCAAGCCACTCCCAGTGTGGCACAGTTACCTCTGCTGCTTGCAGGTCAAGATGCAGAACTCTCAGCTCCGTCTCCAGCACCTTGTCTGCCTGCATGTCGTCATGAAGATAATAGACTAACCCTCTGGAACTGTAAGCCAGCCCCAATTAAATAGCCCCAGTTAAATGTTTTCTTTTACAAGAGTTGCCATAGTCATAGTCTCCTCGCAGCAATAGAAACGCTAAGAGCCACTGGCCTTTGTCTGGTAAGCAGTGAGGAGCTTCACTCTTGGTCTGCCAAAAGTCTGCAGAAAGAACTCCAGAGGTTCTAGGGCAGGAAGGAGGTCACAGCAGTCTTCACTTCGGGCCGGGCCACTCACACCCACATCTCTGCTTGGATTACTCGTGGGCATTTCAAATGAAGAGTTCCAAACTAAACTCACCATCGCCAACCCTAAAATCCTCAGCCTGCTGAGTCCCTTATGGATACAGAAATATCATCCATGCAGCTCCTATAACTAGAAACACAAATTCCTCCCCTAGCTTACTCCCTACTACAAATCCAGCTGGCTCTACAGATGGCTTTTGTTTACTTGAGTTTGTCGATATACCCCTCCTCTACATAATTTTTACCTGAGATCAGGCCCTGATCATTCCTCTCTCCAGTTTCCACCATATTAATGCCTCCTGCAGGTCTAAAGTGTTAGCCGCTCTAAATATGATCTTTCTGCTTTGGGTTAAGTCCCTAGTACACTTGGTCCTGCGATACTGGGCTCTTATTCCTTCTTTTTGCAGGGGTGATGATAGTGGGACTCCGAGTATGTAGTTTGGGACCATGATGAGGGGCTTGTTTTGGTTTGTTGTTGTTTGGGTTTTTTTAAAGATTTATTATGTATAGTGTTCTGCCTTCCATGTATGCCTGCACAACAGAAGAGGGCATCAGAGCCCATTGTAGATGGTTCTGAGCCGCCACGTGGTTGCTGGGAATTGAACTCAAGACCTCTGGAAGAGCAGCCAGTGTTTTTAAAAAGGGGATGCTTTCCTGAGATTGGGTGACATGGGCGCTGAGGTTTACCTGGGTTACAAGCAAATGGCAGAGGGTTTTGTACCCAAAATAAATGTCACATAAAATTTGTGTTTGTCTTGCACGTGAGTAGACACTCTCCAGAGGAACTTGCTCTCCCAAAACGGCGTTCCTTCCCCAAACCCCCTGGTTGAGGAAGTCAGACTGAGATACGTCCCACATAGATTTCTGATTGTCCCAATCTAATCATCTTTAGAGGCTTACGGCAGGGAGCATTAACATGCTTGGTGAAGGGGCTGCAGAGATGGCTCAGCAGTTAAGAGCACTGGCTGCTCTTCCAAAGGTGGAGTTCAATTCCCAGCAACCATATGGTGGCTCACAACTCATCTGTAATGAGATTTGGCGCCCTCTTCTGGCGTCCGGGCATACATGCAGGCAGAATGTTGTAAACATAATAAATAAATTTAAAAAAAAAATGCTTGGCGGAGGATGTAACTCGATGCTAACGTGCTTGCCTAGCACGTGCAAGGTCTTCAGTCCTCCAGAAACATGCGTGCGTGCATGGGTGCACTTGGGCGCGTGCACAGCTACCCGTCCCCACATTCCCACAAAATGTTCCTGTGTCTCTCCCTCCTGGCCCTGTTAGTCAATGGGAGTCTCCTTGTCCCCTCCCCTCTCCTTCCCCTGAGTCCCTGATTCCTTACAGCGCCACATCCCCTCTGCCCTCTGTTCTGCACGTTCAGATCTTGCTCTGCTATCCTCCACTCATATGAGAAGTGCAAGCACCGTTTAAGCAGCCCTAACACAGGTTCCCGCAAGAGATTTTTTACTCTCATTTCACACGTGAGGAAAGTGAGAAAAAGCGGCTCAAGGAGGTCCAATGGCCAACAAGGGCGGAGCCTGGAGAGTGGAGGCAGACTACTCTGCTCCCTCCCCTTATCCACCCTAGGCAACCTTTCCCACCCTCCAGCACTTGACCTTCTTTGCCCATAGGGACGTCTGGGTTCTTTGAGTAGCTACAGGGAGATTTGCTCCTACCTCTGTTGCAGAGTAAAATAACAGGGCCAAAGTTGGTATTATTCAGAGTGTGGGCAAGGTCCTGGAGCTATAGCCACACCATCAGGTCCCACGCGAGTCACACCCAACTTCAGCCCAAGCGCAAGCTTTCTACGGGTGTCTCAACGCAACCATCGCACCACAGCGGGTGTTGAGACCCTGGGCTTGCCTGCCGCCCCAGAGAAAAGAGGAGGGGCATCAGACACATCCAGGCGGTGTGGCAGCGGTTAACCATCCAGCCCTGAACTCACAGATCCCAGGCTCTTGCTGCTCTCTGGCGGCAGGAACCGGGAGCCCGAGACCCGGGGATCGCACCTTGTTTGCTGCGCTAGGGCAAGGGCAAGCAGAGAGTGACCGCAAGTCTAGAGAGAGGAAGGGAAACAGCGAGAAGCAGCTGGAGCAAAGAGGAAGGAGGTCCGGGAGAGCCGAGGAAAGGAGGACAAGGGGACAGTTAGGGCAAAGGGCGGTAGTGGGCACCGGCGGGGACCCCAGGAGCCACTGGCCGCGCAGAGCCCCTTCTCCAGCCTGCAACCTTCGCGCGCACGGGCCGCCCCCTCCTCCCTCCCGGCCGCCCCTCCTCCGTCCCGCCCCCGCGCAGAGTCCCAAGCGCTGCAGAGGCCGCTGCCTGCACTGCCGCTCCCGGAGCTGCTGCTCGCCTGGACACGCTTGGAGAAGGACTCAGGTCGACCGCCCCAGCCCTTCCCTCCCTGTGACTCCTCAGCCACCACTAGACCGGTTCACTCGCTCCACCGTTCCCGCTGGGACCTTCACGGCCCCGTGACCTCCCCTCCGCTCCCCTGAACCATCGCTCCCCTGCGGCCCCCTCCGCTGCGGAAACTTGGGCAGGACCGACGGGACCCGCGCGCGGGCTGGCTCCGGCACTGCGGCGATGCCCGCGGGCCCTTTCCCCGCCACTTGCTCGCTCAGTGCAGGGGCTCGGGCCCCGACGGCTGCGCCGTGAGATGACTTTCCGAGACCTCCTGAGCGTCACTTTCGAAGGACCCCGCTCGAACAGTAGCACTGGGGGCTCCGGCGCGGGCGGTGGAGCTGGCACGGCTGGACCCGAGGGCCCAGCGGTGGGCGGCGTGCCAGGGACCACTGGCGGCGGCGCTGTGGTGGGAACCGGCAGCGGCGAGGACAACCAAAGCTCCACGGGAGAACCGGGGGCTGCGGCCAGCGGTGAGGTGAATGGCTCAGCGGCCGTCGGGGGACTGGTGGTGAGTGCACAGGGCGTGGGGGTGGGAGTCTTCCTAGCAGCCTTCATCCTCACCGCTGTGGCGGGCAACCTGCTCGTCATCCTCTCGGTGGCCTGCAACCGCCACCTGCAGACGGTCACCAATTATTTCATCGTGAACCTAGCGGTGGCTGACCTACTGTTGAGTGCAGCTGTGCTGCCCTTCTCCGCCACTATGGAGGTTCTCGGCTTCTGGGCCTTCGGCCGGACCTTCTGCGACGTTTGGGCCGCGGTGGACGTGCTGTGCTGCACCGCCTCCATCCTTAGCCTCTGCACCATCTCTGTGGACCGGTACGTGGGCGTACGCCACTCGCTCAAGTACCCAGCCATTATGACAGAGCGCAAGGCCGCTGCCATCCTGGCTCTGCTCTGGGCGGTGGCCCTGGTGGTGTCTGTGGGACCACTGCTGGGCTGGAAGGAGCCAGTGCCCCCAGATGAGCGTTTCTGCGGCATCACCGAGGAAGTGGGCTATGCTGTCTTCTCATCCGTGTGCTCCTTCTACCTGCCCATGGCGGTGATCGTGGTCATGTACTGCCGCGTGTACGTGGTCGCGCGCAGCACCACGCGCAGCCTCGAAGCAGGCATCAAGCGGGAGCCTGGCAAGGCCTCCGAGGTGGTACTGAGGATCCACTGTCGCGGTGCAACAGCTAGCACCAAAGGAGCCCAAGGGACGCAGAGTAGCAAGGGCCACACCTTGCGCAGCTCGCTCTCTGTAAGGTTGCTCAAGTTTTCCCGCGAGAAGAAGGCTGCCAAGACGCTGGCCATCGTCGTGGGTGTCTTCGTCCTGTGCTGGTTCCCCTTCTTCTTCGTCCTGCCACTGGGTGAGTGATTCCCCTCACGCTAGACCTTTCTTCCCTTCTGGCAAGTCCCTTCCTGGAAGGCTTAGATGACCCACAACCTGACAATGGACGCTTATGAACTTCCGGTCTCTTACTGTTGTAAAGGGAGAGCAAGGGGCTCTTGGTTCTTCTGGGTTTCCTTTTACAGGTTGCTCATTCTTACCCTTTGCAGCCATTACAAACCCTGGCCTTGTTTTAGTTCCTTGGAAATCTGGGCAAACCTCTCCCTGTAACATGTGGTCAGTAGTTCATGCGACCCCCAGTTAATGTGATGGGTATGCGAGACCCATCTCTGGAAACAGACATGAGGGCGAGCCCCCATGCACTCACTCATTCACCGGCAGAGACCCAGGCCAATCACCTTGTATATCTCAACAGACACCAGAGACCCTGCTTTCTCCAATAGGCATCCATCCAGTGGCCCCACTGTAGGAAACCTGTGGACTTTCCCTTCTGAAATCTCTTGTAAGTTGGAGAAGGGGACCTGGGAAGGAGGAACAGACAGGATGAGAAAACTGTTAAGAGGACAGTTACTATTGTTTATAATCATTTACAGGGTAAACTAGTTCCCCGTACAAGGGCCCTGCAGTCCTGAGGGAGGCACAGCAGTTCTCGGGGGACTCCTCCTACCCCTTGAGCCTGAAAGCCCTGGAGCCTGCCCAGGGCCTGGACCAGCACAGGGGAGAAAGGGGAAGCATTTTTACAGCTGTCACGGTGACTTTTATTTATCATAGTTGAGTGTGTCGCTCTCTTACAAGTCCCTTGGTGTTTTCACACTACTTGGAAATAAACCTGCCTTCCACAGCCTGCAGAGGGTAGCCTTCAGATTCATTATTGTCTGAACCGAAACGGGTCGCTGTCAGTATTTACAGGAGGACCCCAGGCATGAACTGCAGGATGCCAACAAATGCCCTTCCCATCTGAAAGGGGCTCTTCAGGGAAGGGCTTCCTCCCACTGCCCTGGCCCTAACCCTCCTTAGTTAGTTCCTTGCCTGTACCAATTTCTGATCTTCTCACTTGATCTTCCCTCCGTCTGGATGGCCCCCAAACCTCTTAGCTAACTCCCAACCTGTGGGTTTCTGCTTAAATGCCCCATTGGCTGAGTGTTTCCCTCCGTCACTGGCTCTCTAGCTTTTCCTTTCAACTGTATCATCACTGAATCCACAGCACCCAGAATGGTGCCTGGCATGTGAGGAGCAATACTGTTCTCCATTGAGAACACAGGCGCTGGTGTCAGGCAGCTTGAGTTCAAATCCCAGCTCTGCCTCTTACTAGCTATGTGGTCTCAGGCCTCCGTTTCTTCATCTTTAAATGACAGTGGTGATGATGGTGATAATGCTGACTTTGACAAATTTTGGGAGAGCCAATGAATAGCTGTATATGAATGTGATTGAGGTGTATGTGAATCTCTCTCTCTCCCTCTCCCCCCTCTTTCTCTCTCTCCCTCCCCCCCCTCTCTCTCTCTCTGTGTGTGTGTGTGTGTGTGTGTGTGTGTGAGAGAGAGAGAGAGAGAGAGAGAGAGAGAGAGAGAGAGATCAGGATAAGGAATAAAACCCCCACTTAAGGTCTGCTTTACAGTTGGATTGGGGAATGTGAAAGCAACAAAGTTGAAGAAGGGGGTGCCCCCCCGACACACACACCGCACACACACACCCTCTCCAAGGCCCAGCCCCACGGCCCTGCTCTGGCCTCGCCTTATGGAACCTGTTCAAGGGCTCCTCCCTCTCCTATCTCTGTGTGTCTAGCTCACACCAGTCCCCACAGGGAATGCTCAGCCTGGGTAGGAAACGCCACCTCCATTTTTCCATTTTCCTTTACTTTTAAACTATTTTGTTAGAGAATAATGCACAAATGAAAAGAAACTAATGTAATAATATAATACTGTTGCATATTACACATAATTTAATACTCTAATAAACACTCACGGGCCTCTAATCACCCACACTGAGCATATGCTGAGTTTACCATATCTACATTATATCCTTCCTCTTGCTGTGTGCACAAAATAGATCACAGTTGATTTCACTGTCCCACTTCCTCCCTCGCCTCCCCAGAGGTAACGCTAGCATTTATTACTCCCATGTGTCTATTGATGCCCTTACCACAGACATCCGCGTTCATTTCAAAGCACAGCACTGTTTGTGTGCCTTTGGAGTTTGTGTCAATGGCATTCACTATGCATATCATTCTTCAGTCTGCGTTTTCCCATCCCTCGCTATGTCCTTGAGATTCATGCAGTGTGGGGCCATTATTAGTGCTTTTGAGACTGCTGCATGGTGTGTGATCCACTCTTCTGCTGAATATTAGTTTTTTTCTCATTCTTTTTTTATGGTTAAAATCAACACATCAGAACAGTAGAACTGCTTTTTGAGGTCCAGATCACATCATCTTCCAGGAAATCATCTCTGGATATCCATGACCCCTTCCCCTTGTTGGCATCCACTGCTCTTTCTCTGTCCCTTTATCTTTGCTGCTCCTTCCACATGGTATAAGATCCCTGGAGATGTCTATATCTGGCCCCAAGAAGGGATTACATGGATGTATGAATATGCAAAGCTATCAAGTCTTGTGTTTTCGGATGTGCATGCCAGCTCAAACTCCTGGCAGTGCCTAATCCTGAGGAGCTGGCAATAATGAACAAACAGGACAGGTGCCAAGCAAAGAAACAGAATATTCCACTCTGCCCTGTATAGACTGGAGGGCACAGAGGAGGGCAGAGACTACTGTAGAAGCAAGAGAGTGGCCTGGAGGTCGTTGAGGAGGGAAAGAGGCCAGGAGGCCCTGACACTCTCCTTGTGAGGGCTTGTGAGGGATGAGGTGCCCTTGAGCGAACATTCTGAGCTGCAACACTTTGTGGGGAAATGTGGCCTTCAAGGGGCCAACATGTTTTAGCTGGAGATGTTAGGATAAAGTCTATAGGAGATTTGGCACAGAGGTTGAAGATGAGGGTGCTGGCGGGAGTGTGGGGGTATAGTCTCCCAGTAAGTAGCAGGAGAAGAGTGGAAGCCAGGGATTTACCTGTTTAGAGAGAACCAAACAGAATTCAGGAAAGGCAGCTGGGAGAGGTGTGGTAAAGCCGAGGACAACGGAGGGACAGCCGCGAGGGACAGCCAAGGAACAGCTGAGGAACAGTCGAGGTACAGCTGCGTAGGTGGGACACCTTCAGGTCCACGTGAGTGTGCCAGCTGTGTGTGGCAAGCACAAGCAGCAGACACGGAGGTATTGGGGAAGAGAGACGCATGTCCACAAAGTCCGTGGTTATAGAAATGAAAACAACTATCCGGCCACACTCTGGGCTAAACCGTCCACCGTGCCTTCATCCACACCTCTCATCTTCAGGAGACCCAGCTGCAATGGAGAGGTAGCTGTGAGCAGAAACAACAGTCCTGAGGTAGCAAGGAACATTCTGGAATCGCAGAGGAATGCTGGCACAGAGGGCCATAGACTGCTACCTTTCAGCCCCAACATGTAACCCAAGCGTTGGGGAGGCTGAAGCAGGCTGTTTAGTGAGACCCTGCCCCCCCCCAGCCTAAAAAGAGGAATATGCTATTGGTCAAGCCAAATAAACTACCAAGGAGGACCGACAACAGTTATACTAAATTGTGAGGCCCCCTGAGGACAGGTGCCAGGCACATGAAATCATAAAGGGCCCAGATACGCTATAGATCATCTCATTTGTGTCCGCCTCACTTTCCCAGGGCATATATATTTCCTAGAGGTAGGCAGAGGTTACTTAACGGAAACCTCAGACATTGCCTGTCTGGTACTACATACAACTCCAGGCAGCACAGGGAGCTGCTGATATCAGCCAGGGCTGTTTGTGGACACTTGCAGCCCTTGCCCCAGTGCACGGTCACAGGCCTGTCCCTTCTTCCATGACAGCACACTTCCAGGACAGGCCAGAACAGTGCTTCCTGTTCAGTCTCGGAGACGTTCCAGGTCAGACTGGGAAGACTACATACATGCCCTGTGGGGCCTATGGAGAAAAGAGCTCTTGACATTCCTCCCCAGGACAGACACATTTCCCCTGGTTTTAAACAAGTTGGCACAGGGCTAGACGCCATGAAAAAAGTGATAAGAAATTATATAAATATAGTTTCATATAGTCACAAGCGGCCCAAACCGGTGTGTATGGGCAAGGGCAGCTGCTGTAGAGATGAACACACTGCCTAGAACTTGTCTGAAAAACTTCAGGGTGGAAGATGGCCAGCACAGGTACACTGCCGGAAGTGCATGTGATTGGAGCTTCTGCCCCAGGACAGGTGGTGCATGGGTCTGCTCACCCCAAGATCTAGGCTGAATGTTTGGTAACCTTTCCTGTATACCCTGCATGCCAAAGGGAGGCTCTGGGCCCTCCTCAGTGTCTGCAAGGCTGTATTATCTTGCATTTGGCATTGATGTGCATGGCAGGTGCCTCCCGGTGAGGCGCAGGAGTAGGGCTTGAAAGCTCACCTGCAGGACCCAGCCTCACCCCCTTGCCACTCTGATGACACTGACAGACCCTAGCTCTTCATTTCCAGCTCTCTGGTTTTGTGGGGGGTGTTGTTTTTGTTTTGTTTTGGTTTGGGTTTTTTTTGGTGTGTGTGTGTGTGTGTGTGTGTGTGTGTGTGTGTGTGTGTGTGTGTGTGTGTTTAAGCAGGTCACCAAATGTCACTGGCACTGGCTTCTGCGGCTGTTTTATTTTTTGCAGTGATGAGGACTGATCCCAAGCCATAAAAATCCACCCATGAATTACACCCCAGTCCCCATCACTAGCCTCTGAATGTCACCACCCAGGGCAACTTCAGAGGCTCTAACTGAAATCCACACAGTCCATCCAAACCCCACGACCATTCGAGACCAGCCTGGTCTACAGAGCTAGTTCCAGGACAGGCTCCAAAGCCACAGAAAAACCCTGTCTCGAAAAACCAAAAAAAAAAAAAAAAAAAAGACAAACCCCACGACCCCATTCAAGCCATCTGGGAGCCATAACTGGGCCTCTC